CATTGTCATGCGAAAATAATTTGGTAATGTGGGCACGAGGTGTCATGCGTGTAAGATTCGGAATTATGGCTTATGATTTGTGGTTACGAGATGTGGTACCTCGGGGTAATTCTTATTGTGCATCATGTGTTGGAAGGACTTAATTACTTGAAAGGGGCAGTTGTTTCCCCAAATTGATCTCATCCACATTTTTACTGTGTTTTGATATTTTGCTGCTTTATTACCCATTAACTTTTTTCTACCAATTGTGTTTTTATTAATCCCTTTGTTGGTTTTATATTAACAATCTTTATGTTGTTAGCCTTACATTGATATTTTTCCCATTGCTAGTTTTATGTTAATATCTTGCACACGTTTTATGTCTAGTGAGTGTCTCAAGTTACCTCGTCACTACTCCACTGAGGTTAGTCTTGATACTTACTAGGTACCGCTATTGTGTACTCATGCTACACTTCTGCACTTTTTTGTGCAGATCCAGGTAATTCTGATCGTGTTGGCGAGTTGTGTCTGCCCGACTGGAGACTTCAAGGTATACATGCTTAACATTCGCAGGCCTCGGTATCACCATCATATGTTATCTTTACTGTTGTTTATCTTCATTTCAAAATAGTATTGTATATATAAATTCTAGTGTATATCAGTAGAGCTTATGATTCTGTACTATCAGGTTCTGGGGATTTTATAATGTTTGTTCAGTTTTAGTTATGTTATTTCATTTATTAGTTTAAGTTTTATATAGTAAGTTGGTTATCTCTGTTAGATCTCTTCATACGTTAGGCTTTTACCTAGTCTTAGAGACTGTATGCCATCACGATTCCTAAGGTGGGATTTTGGGTCGTGACAAGTTGGTATTAGAACTCTAGGTTCATAGGTACTACGGGTTATAAGAAGGTTTAGTAGAGTTTTACGTATCGGTATGTAGACGTTTATACTTATCTTCGAGAGGTTACAGAACTATTAGGAAATTCCACGTCTTTCATTCCTTATCATGCGGCATTGATTCAGCTTGAAGCGTATATCTTATATTCCTTTGCATCCACTCGTGTATGATATTGTGCACTCGGTATCAGCTATGCACCGACAGTTTGTGATGCTATGGATGGGCTACCAGGGGGCCATGGATGCTCGATTATTGTCTCAACGTGTTGTCCAGACTGAGGACGGGGACGTGTTTGTAGATCTTCATTTGTTCAAGTGTGGGATGCAACATGTTCTGGTATATGGTTGGTGAGTACGAGCTTGGGAAGATTTAATTGGTTGCCTAGTCATCTTAATCGTGGTAGGGTCTTGAGAGGATGTTGATTTGAGAATAGTTGGTGGTATTAGAGATTATGTGTTTTGTATGGGAAATCTATTCAGTGAAAGGTACATATTGTCATTCAAGGTACTTAAGGAAACAGGCTTGACTGTCACGAGGATAGACATGCGCTTAGTAGGTGATTTAAGGTATCTTATGATTGGTGCCATACGAACTATGAAGGTTGGTATTGTGGATTATCGGGTGTTATGTCCTATGGCTTCGCGCCAAGTGGGGGAGTCTATTATCGACGATCATATTGTATGGTTATGTGTTATATTAGTTTTGTTCTGAGGTATATACGTGGTATTGGAATAGTGTTGAGACTTGCGGTATTTATGTATTATTATTAATTTTACATTTCATTATTAGAGAGGTTAGAGAAACAACTTCAGATTCACAGAAGGTCTCTTCAAAGTAGGTATCTCAGTTGCGGCATTATTGGGTGCTTAAGAGGAAACACAATGGTTTATGGGCTTTTAGATGACGTGGTTCGTGCTAGGATCTCTTGCGGTGAGCTTTTGGTTTAGGATCATTGTGTACCGGCAAGGAGTAGTGTTAACTTGAAGGCAAGTCGTGGAGGATTCGAAGAAATGGGTCAGCTTGGTGATGTTAGGTTAGGATAGTAATAAAGGTAATTGGTTCCTTTGGTGTGGTGATGCAATATCGGTTTTTTTGTGGCAATACTCTTGGGTTAGACAGCTTGCGTGACTTGGTTAAGTTGGGAAAATTCAGTTCTGATGGCTTGGTTATGTGAAGACGGGTTCTTGAGCAGGATGTATGTTGTTGGCATAAGGAACATGTTGTGTGCTATGATCTTTTCACCTGTATGGGGTCACGAGTTCTTGATAGCATGGACAATTTCAGATGTTTAGAAGAATGCTAGCATTATTCGATACCTCCCGAGAAGGGTGTGCACTCTAGAATAGGCACTCCTCTTCGATTTGCGAATGCCTGACTGGTATTTTAGTAATCGACTAATTCATTAGCCCCTGATGTTCAGATTTTGCTACGTGGAACGAAAGAACTACAGGGGTATGTTTTGTGGGATGATCAAGCATGACGAATGTGTTAGTCATTTGTGTAGTGTAGTTGGGATCGGATATGGAGATTCTGGTATTCTAAGGATCATAAGACTAAGAAGATTCTCAAAGACAACTTATTCCATGGGTACGGATGGTGAAGGTATGCTAAGAGGTTGGAGACAAATGATATGTGCTGTAGATTTGTTATTGTGGGCTTTTTGGAGGCTAATCTACCTATTTCAAGAGGATCGAAATTGATTCAGAGGCCACTGGTGGGCCTAATGAGGATGTGTGTTCTACACCGGGTTGGATTTGTTTACTCAGCACAGCTATTGTAGCGGGTGGTGTCATCGATTAGAGTTGACCTTATTCGTGTTCTGATGTGTTATATGTGTTACTCTTCTACTCCACGATGGATTGTGAGACTGTTGACTATTTACATATATGCGGTATTGTTTGGGCTTTGTGGCGGAATTTGAGCGAGATATCTCCAGGGGTGTTGAATGGTTGTTTGTGCCTTGGTTAGGATCTTCTTGTTTGTGGTATATACATAGTGATATCCGTTTCTTCATGGTTATGGTCATGCGCCTCGCCTGTTTGTTGAATATTACGCATATGGTTATTGATTATGAGACTCATGCCTCGAGGTATTCCATGTGGATTGGTGTTTGGATTGGGTCACGCATCGCAGCGAAGTCATATTGGGATAGGATCCTTGTACTTATTTGGTGTGTTTTGTTTCTCCTTTGTGTGATGGGTTCATAGAATTGCACTTCGTGGTGGTATCTGTTGAGCTTACGAGGCGGTTCTCTCATTTGATTCCTTTCCATCATTGGTTACATCTGAGTTGTTGCTTGTTTGGTGCACAGATTGCATGGTAAGTGGCTCTAGGCAGGATTGGTGTGGCACGTTGTTAGAGCAGCTTGTATTGGATGAGGTAAAGTTAGTGGGTCTGAAATGAGTGTCATTGGACTTGATCAAGGTATGCTTGGAAGAATAATGTCACTAGTCAGCTTAAATTCGACTAAGGTTCTTGTCGGGCAAGAGAGCTCCATGACTTGTTGATATGATGGGTAGTTATTAGTTTCTGCGTGTTTCTTTCATTATTGGTAGTGTACGGAGATTTGGAACAAGGTTTTTATTGATAGGAGGTTAGATACCGGTACCAGGTTTGCTATTTGAGCAGCTATTGTGGTCGGGAGCTATTTCTATGTGTATATGGGTTATATGGAATATTATGTGATTATACTTGAGATATGTTTACGGCTTGATTCAGACTTATACAGCGTATAGATGCAAAAATCGGGTATTATAATGAATTTCAGAAGTTGGAGATTGGGTTCTAAGGGTTGTGAGCTACGGTTTAGGTAAATATCTTCGGTTAGATTGTGTTATCGGACTTATATAGGTTGAGGTGATGTGGGATCACTCATGGGTATGTGTATGGAAAGTTTATACAGCAATTTGATGGCTTTGGAACAGCTCTTGGCACGTTTGAAGATGAACGTAGGTTTAAGTGGGGGAGAATGTAACGACCCAACCGGTCGTTTGAGCCTTAACGTTCCATTCGGTAGTTTGAGACTTTGATTAGCTTCATATTATGTATTATGACTTGCGTGTATAGTTGATTTCGGTTTTCAAGCAGTTCAGGATTGATTTGAAAGAATGATTCTCGTTTTAGAAGCTTTAAGTTGGAAGAGTTGACCAAGGTTTGACTTTTAGGTAAACGGACTCGAAATCGGGTTTTGATTGTTCCAATAGGTTCATATGATGATTTTGGACATATACGTATGTTCAGATTTGGTTTCAGAGGTTCCTAGAAGAATTCTACACTATTTGCCGAAAGTTGGTAATTTGAAGAACTTAAGAGTTCCTAAGTTTGAACGTCTGTATGAAGAACTTGGAGGCAAGGGAGGGGATAAGAAGTTATACTGGCTAGCCAAGGTGTGTGAGAGGAAATCCCATGATCTGGACCAAGTGAAGTGCATCAAGGATAAGGATGGCAGAGTATTGTTGGACGAGGCACTTATTCGTCGGAGATGGCAAACTTACTTCCATAAACTATTGAATGAAGAGGGGGATACAAACATTGTGCTGGGTGTCTTAGAACAATCCGAGAGTCGTCAGGACTTTGGGTATTATAGGCGTATAAAAATTGGGGAGGTAGAGGAGGCTATGCATAAAATGAGCAGGGAAAGAGCAACCGGGCCAGACAAAATCTCGGTGGAATTTTGAAAGAGCATGGGTAGGGCGTGCTTGGAATGGCTAATTGAGTTATTCAATGTCATTTTTAGGACAAAGAAGATTCCTGAGGAGTACAGATGGAGTACGATGATCCCATTATATAAGAACAAGGATGATATCCAAAATTGCAACAACTATTGAGGTATCAAGCTACTGAGTCATACTATGAAAGTATGCGAGGGGGTGGTGGAACGGAGGGTGAGGAATATTGTGTCTATTTTAGAGAACCAATTCGTATTTATGCTGGGGCGTTCTCCTACAGAAGCCATTCACCTTGTTAGGAGGTTGATGGAGCAGTATAGGGAGAGGAAGTGAGATTTACATATGGTATTCATCGACTTAGAGAAGCTTATGATAAAGTGCCGGGGGAGGTGTTGTGGAGATGTTTGGAGGTTAGCGCCAATCCTGTTGCATACATTAGGGCTATTAAATATATGTATGATGGAGCTAAGATTTGGGTGAGGACAGTAGGAAGGGACTCTGAACACTTCCCGGTTGTGATGGGGTTGCATCAGGGGTCAGCCCTTAGCCCATTTCTGTTTGCCTTGGCAATCGACGCGTTGACGCGTCACATTCAAGGGGAGGTATCTTGGTGCATGTTATTTGGAGATGAAATTGTATTGATTGACGAGACGCGAGGTGGTGTTAACGAGAGGTTAGAAGTTTGGAGGCAGACCCTGGAGTCTAAAGGTTTCAAGTTGAGTAGGACCAAAACAGAATACTTAGAGTGTAAGTTCAGTAGCACGACTTAGGTTGTGGACGAAGACGTGCGGCTTGATTCACAAGTCATTCCTAGGAGAGAAAGTTTCAAGTACCTTGGGTTTGTTATACAAGGGAATGGGGAGATCGATGAGGATGTCACATATCGTATTGGGGAGGGATGGATGAAGTGGAGGATTGCTTCCAGTGTTCTGTGTGATAAGGATATGCCACCAAAACTTAAAGGTAAGTTCTATAGAGCGGTGGTCAGACCAACTATGTTATATGGGGCGGAGTGTTGGCCAGTCAAGAACTCCCATGTATAGAAGATGAAGGTGGCTGAAATGAGGATGTTGAGATGGATGTGCGGGCATACCAGGTTGGATAGAATTAGAAATGAAGTTATCCGGGACAAGGTTGGTGTGGCCTCTGTGGAGGATAAGATATGAGAGGCACGACTTAGATGGTTCGGGCATGTTAAAAGGAGAGGCATTGATGCTCCGGTGAGGAGGTGTGAGAGGCTAGCGTTGGAGGGAACGGAGAGGTAGAGGTAGGCCGAAGAAGTATTGGGGTGAGGTGATTAGGCGAGATATGGCGTTGCTCTAGCTGGCTGAGGATATGCCCATAGATAGGAATGTGTGAAGGTTGAGAATAAAGATAGATGGTTAGGTAGCCGAGTGTTGTCCTTGTTTGTCACAGTAGCTTTGATACATCTCTTAGTGTCCTTCGGGTTCTTATTTTTATCCCTAGATTGCTCTTATTTCTTATTACTGCCTTGTTTCAGTTTTCTGTTTCATTACTTAGTGTTAATTTTGTATTTTCGCTTTGGTTATCAGACTGGTTTGCTTGTTACTACCCCGTCCTTTTTCCCTCCCTGAGCCGAGGGTCTACCGAAAATAGCCTCTCTGCCTTTTAAAGGTAGAGGTAAGGTCTGCGTGAACTCAACTCTCCCCAGACCCCATTTGTGGAACTACACTGGGTTTGTTGTCATTGTTGTTGAAGAGTTTATAAGTTTGATCAAGAGTTGACTTTGATATTATTGGACTCCAAGGTATTCCTATACTTTGAATAGGTCTATATAGTTGAATTGAACTTGTGTACAATATGGAAGTAATCAGAAGAGTTAAAGTGTGATTCAGACACTCTTTTGAAAGAATGAAGATTTAACAACTTAAGAGAAATTCTATTCGGTTTGAGTCTTGATTCTTTGTTGTGATGTTCTCGTGGGTGTTTTGAGGCTTTGGATAAGTTTGGATAATGTATTTGTACTTATTGGTATGATTGAATGGGGTCCCGAGGGACTCGGGTGTGTTTTGGATCATTGGTTGAGAAACTGGTTAAAGATTTGAAGTTTGACCATGGTCAATATAGGGTCAAGCTGACCTCTTTTCGGTATTTCGAATGCGCGAGCAGGTTCGTAACGTGTTTTATGATTGAAATGCATATATGGTTTGTGTCTGGGAGGTTACGAATGAGTTTTGGGTGCTAAAACGAAAATTTTCTTACTGCTGGTTTTTTTTTCTGGTGTAAATAATTATAAAAATACCATTTATGTCCCTGAAATTTTCAGATTTCTTTTAAAACTTCAAAATATCATATTTCTCTCATTTTAAGGCCAAATTGGGTGATTCAAGAGGTTATCTTGGGTGTAATATCGCAAGGATCATGTTGGAGAAATTGAGGATTTTAGTAAAAACTTTCTAAAATATAAATTGATGGGTTGAAATCTGATTTGAGGTCGAAATTGAATTATTTTGGTATGGTTGGACTCGTATCGAAATGGGTGTCCGAAATTTGTGAGCTTTGTCGGGTTCTGAGGTGTGGGCCCGAGGTTGGCATTTTGGGTTGACTTATTGATTTTAGTCAAAGATCGAATCTTTATTATCCGGAATTATTTCTTATGGCTTTTATTTATGATATTAAGTTATTTTGGCTAGATTCAAGCCGTTAAGAAGTGAATTTGTGCGGGAAGGACTTATTAGTAGATTGATTTAGCTTGTTTGAAGTAAGTATCTTGCCTAACTTTGTGGAGGGGGAGAGAGAGGGGGGACCTACCCCTTAGGATTTGTGTTGATTGTACTATTTGAATTATGTGAAAGACTTGTACACGAGGTGACGAGTGTGTATATGGGCTTATATGTGGTATTTGACCGGTTTAGACTCTTATAGCCTGTTTGGCCAAGCTTCTAAAATCAGCTTATTTTGAGAAGTGTTTTTCTCAAAAGTACTTTTTAAAAAAGTGATTTTGGTGAGAAGCAGTTTTGTGTTTGGCTAATTAATTTGAAAAGCACTTTTGAGCAGTAATTAGTGTTTGGCCAAGCTTTTAAAAACTGCTTCTAAGTGTATTTCTCTTAAAAGTGCTTATCAGAAAAGTGCTTTTGGAGAGAAGCTACTTTTTTCTGCTTCTCAAAAATTGCTTCTGTTTCTCCTCAAAAGCACTTTTTTCCTTCCAAAAACTTGGCCAAACACCTCATTTTTGGCCAAAAGTGCTTTTGGCCAAACAAGCTATTAGACTCCTTTCATGCATTTAATTGAAGTTGTCATTTCATATTATATTCTTTATTGCTAAGTTTGCTCTTACATGCTTTATTTGAAGTTGCTAGTACATGTTCTATCTTTTATTGTCAAGTTTACTCTTATATGCTTTAATTGTTAATTGCAATTACTTGTTGAATTCATTCCCTTAGCAGTTACATGCGTTAATTGTTAATTGATTCTTTGCAATCGTGTCTCTATTTATGAACTGCCATCACTTGCTATTTGATTTTGTGAGCTATCATATAACTATTTTATCCGCTTTATGACTTTCTTTGTTTAGTTCCTTTATTGTGTTTAATTTTGTGATATGCCATAGTTGGTTGTAGCTTATTCTTTTGATTCATATTGCTTGGGAATCGGTTGCATGCCACAATGGTATTGATACGAAAGAGATATGATATGAAGAAATTAGGACGAAATATAATGATATGGTGGGATCGGTGTCACGCCCCAAAGCCGAGGAGCACGACCGGCGCTCAACCGAGTGAACCCGACCGAGCAAGCCTATTAGATTTCATTTTACCCAAACTCATCCACGAATAGAGATAATACATATTTTCATTAATTAGACGAAAATTTGTTCATGTCTACACTACCAATTCATTTCCAATAGTTTCATCATTTTTAAAGTCTCAAATGGACTAGTAATACAACCACAACATAACATAGTTTGTCTTTCCCCAGCATCAATACACAACCCACACTATGTCTACGGAGCCTCTATAGATAAATAAGAGTACAATGATAATGCCGGCAACAAGGCTCCGGCTATACCTCGAACCGAATACACAAAGTACAAAAGATACATGACCCCGAGATGAAGTGGGGCTCACCAAGTCAACAGGGAAGAAGGTGTACTGCTATCACTAATTAATATCTCCTGTTCTGGAACCACCTGCATCCATTTAAAGATGCAGCGCCCCCAGCAAAAGAGACGTTAGTACCGTCGAATAGGACTAGTATGTATAACTAAACACCCTCTCAATAGAATGACAAATAATACAAACAAGATTATCATAATATCAATGAAAGCCTTAATCAACATCAAACCTCAATTTAGGATCAAGACAATATTCAAATTAATTTCCATATCTCACATTGGGAGATTTTTAGCATCGATGTACCATTGTCCACAATACCAGTACCACTGTATTCTCAGTACGGAGTCCGATCACGACTTGATCGGCTAGGCTATCTCATTAGAGACATCAACCACAATTACTCTCAATATCAATACCACCGTCTTTAACACGGAGTCCGATCACGACCCGATCTGCTAGGCTATCCATTAGGGACATCAACCACAATTACCATTTCAATTACAATTTCCAGCACAATCACCACCATGTGTGCGGTATGGTGTCCGATCACGACCCGACCGACTAGGCTGTCTTATTTGAGACATCAACCTTTTTATATCAATCATCAACAACAAATACAACTCAAATCAAGGTGTGTAGTACACATGTGAAGAATTTAAAGTCTAAGGCACATAGAGATATTTCACAAAATTTGGCATAATAGCCTTCATTTGAACTTGACTTAAAGTCGAAACATTATTAATGCACGGCCCGTATATTAACACATCCTCAATTGGTAACATAACATGAATAAAGCATTTAGGATGCTTGTTGAATATATATCTGTCAACCCAATCTTACTAGGAATGGCCAGTCTCATAATGAATCACTCGGGACTTAAATAATTTACATGAATATCGTGCGATTCAATTCTAAGAGAAGAGTTTAGCCAACATACCTCACTTGAGCTTCCTTACACTCTAAATGTTCTGGAATTCTTAGCAACTTCAATCTATTTTAGAAATATAACAAATTGAATTAAAATTAGGAAGATGATCATGGTTCGAGCTCATTTGAGCATTTTATCAAACACTAAGTGTGCATTAAGGTTTCAAGGTCCTTTTATAGAGAATTTCATCATCCCACAACCCAATCTTTACTATTTTTAGGTCAACAATCTTCCTACACCCTTTGATAACACATGCATGTAAAATAAACAACTCTCATGCCCAAATATTATCTTGCTAGTTACCCATTTTCAGAAAATTTTGAAATTAGGGTTTAGGGTGTAGAATCTTACCTCTAGGATGAAGACCGACTGAGCTTCCCTTCTTAATCTTCCAAAACTTCAGCAAGAATTGAAGAAAATTATTGAAGAACACCTTCTCACTCTAGGGCACTCTCTCTCACTCTAGAATATCAGATTATGTCTCAAAAATGGCCCAAAGAGTGTATTTAATGAAATAGGGTCGGGTTTTAAAAACCCAAAAATTGAGCTCCGGAACAAGGTATGCGATCGCATAACCGATATGTGGACAGCATATCGGTCGCATAATTAGTTATAAAATAGCCAAAAGAACTGACTATGTATGCGGTCACTATGCGGTCCACATAACTATTATGCGGTCGCATAATGCACTGCATAACAGTTATGCGGTCGCATAGTCGACCGCATAGTTGCTTCCAACTGACCCAATTAACTGCGTCACTTTGCGGCCATTATGCGGTCCGCTGAGTGGTTCTGCGGTCGCATAATGGACCGCAGAAATGCACTTTTCTGCTTATCTTTTACTTTCCGGTGCATTGTTCAACCCAAAAAGTCCGAGACTGAACACATAAAACCAATTTGGCACCACGAAACATTATTTTCTTTTACAAATTTTTACTGGGCTTTATACTTAAGTACTT